TTATCAATATTTTTGCATAAATATGATTAGTAATGTTGTATTTGTGTGTGTATAAAAAATATATGCACACACATACACATTAACATGCATGAATGATAGAGTAATCACATTTAATAATATATTATATCTACTCACTTACTCACTAGTAGCTTTCTTCATATGCACTGTCAAAGTTAAAGGTACATATTTCTTAGGATACTAAAATAAAAAGGCAAAAAAAACAAAGTGTTCGATGAATCTAGACGCCTAGGCGGCCCATTAGGCGCTCTGGGCGGGCAATTAGGCGCCCTAGACGGCCGACGAATTCACCTAGGCGCCGATTCAATTAGTCGGAGCGCCTAGACCAAAATCGGGGCGCCTGACCACCGCCCAGCGCCTAGGCGGGGACTAGTCGGGCGTCTAGAGCGATTTTTAGAATAGTGCTGTTGTAGGGTATGGGACAGGATTCGAGAATGGATGGGATTTGGGCATCAAATGTCTACATTGCTTAGCTCAATCAAATGGATTTCGAAGAAGCACAAAGGATCAACTTTGAAAGCAAAAGCGGCCCGAATTGCTCTATGTGCCGTGGTGTATTACATATGGCATACAAGGAATGCAATCCGCTTTGATGGTGGCAACAAGACCGAGGAAGACGTGATAGCCAAGATTAAGCATATCGTCTACAAGATACTCTATAGTATCTATCCATACAAATTGATCAACTTTTGAGTGGGCCAAATACCATTTGGGAGGCCGCGGCATGTATATTATGGATGCCGCGGTATGGTCACACTGAACACTGCGCCATGGATTTTCTGGATGCCGCGGCATGGACCTTTTGGATGATGCGGCTTGGGCAATTTGGGACACTGGGACATGGACATCTTGTATGCCACGAAATGGAGCAGTGTTTTGGACTTGGGTGTATGCAAGTTGCAACACCTTTGTATTTTGTTATGATCTGTGTGCGTGCATGTGCAGCACCGATGTATATTTTTTGTTTTTTGACGGGACAAGTATTTATACTTGGCCTTTTTTGGCGTAGATTAGATCGAATAAAAACCTCCTTTCACCCCTACATTATGTGGCGGTGGGGGAGGGGTGATAGTCTAGAATTGTTATTGTTTATGTGTGTAATTTTAACTAGTTTTATTTGTTGTTGTTTGGGAAATTACACACTTTATACTTTATTTTTCCTATTTTGTTTATAATTTGTTTAGATTAGGTTTATTCTGAGCTTTGACTAGGTGAAGATCATCAAGAGGACCCTTAGAAAGGCCAAGGAAAGTGAAAGGGAACAAGATAAAGTGAAAATTTGGAAAAATAGTCATTTCCCCGGTCGGGTAAAGCATTTACCCAGTCAGGTATTGACTTGATCCGAAAATCAAATCTTATTTGGAGGCAATTTAACGTGCAGACAAAGATTTGGTAAAGATTTGTCTTTTACCCGATCGGGTAAATCAAAAACCCGGTCGGGTATGTTGTGACAGATGAAGATTCCAGACACTTACTCAAGAACCCCGATCGGGTTTCTCAAAAACCCGGTCGGGTAAATGGCCCTGCCAGCTCCTTCTCATTTATTCACCAATTCACACCGGTGGGCGTAGCTCAATTGGTAGCGAGGGAGTGCCATAAGGGTTAGGTCTCGGGTTCGAATCCCGGCAACTGCGATAAGGGATTACTATGCTGAAAAATGCATAGGGCCTCTGCAAGTACCGGGGACGGAGCCCCACTCTCTATCTATCAGGTTGTGATTATAGTCCAACTTACATCCTCCCATCGTGATGTCCGGTCGGTGTTGGGGGGCCCTCACGGATGGGGTATCATCCTTTTTTTTATTCACCAATTCACATACTCTCTTAAGCTCAGTTTAGAATAACATTTCTTTATATTTTTCTAGCATGTTTAGTCTTCAAATGAGGAGCTAAACTTCCATTTCTTGGTGTTGCTCTTGAAGCTTGTTGATTATTAAAGTTGTGAGTTATTTTCTTAACTTCTTCCCTTGAATATTAATTCTTCCTTCAATCTATCTATATATTATTGTTGGGGAGTACTGTTACTAAGATGACAATTAGTTAACATCTTGACATTAGTTATAGTAGTATTTACTTTCTTCCTCTATATATTAATGTTGGGGAGTGTTGCTAAGATGACAATTAGTTAACATCTTGACATTAGTTATAGTAGGATTTATCATCTTTAATATTCTTCCTTGAATATTAATTAATTCTTATTCATATATCATATTAATATTTTGAACATTACTTAAAGGATCAACTAGTTTTGTTTCATATATTAATTACTACTAGAATCGATCGACGAATACGCTTGTTATTCGTTGATGGATTCACAAGTAAGTAACTTCGGTTTATTAATGCACGGTTCTGGTTAATAAACTTAAGAGGGATTAATTTTGTTGGTTAAACCGAAACCGTTGTGTTGATGTTATCAATCTCAATGGATTTCATCAAGGAGTTAAAGAGATTAAATGCTACTATCAAGTCGGTATATGGCGGTGTTCTATACTTGACTAATAGTAAGGGTTATTAATGAACGGTCGTTGTTAATAACTACCCTCGATGAATTGGATATACTCCTCGATTGAGTATTCAAGAAGGGATAAGTTATAGATATACCAATGATCGACTAAAATATATCAACAAGTGGAAAGTAGCAATGCCAACTGCCAAGTCCTTTTTATCTTTGAATTAAATCACATATAAGTCATTCATCTTGGTGTTTTAATTAATTAAATCATACAATCCCAAAACCCCCTTTTATTACTAGTTCTATAAAGAGAAAATTATTCATTTCCCTGTGGATACAAACTCTACTTCATCTATACTACGTATAAGTGTTAGTATCGATTTATTTTGACGCACCGTGACAAAGTGCTCGTCAGGGGCTTTAGGAGATCTAGGATACATGATATATAGTTTTCTTCGGTGTTAATATATATTTACATTTCATCCAAAAAAATTCTTCCCCAACCTTCTTGAACGAACTTTCCGGACAGCTTATATTTAAGTAGAAAAATAAATCAACAAATGATAATAGAATATAATAAATCATAATGATAAATACATTGCAATGCATAGAAAGTTACCTTGAAGAAATAACAATGATTTCAATTAGTGAATGCAGGTTTTGGCTACGAATGCATCCCACATGACCTCCAACGCAGGGCCGGTCCTGTCCATTTATGGGCCTATGGGCGATATGCTAATTCGGGCTTATATCCAAGATAAACGTAAACCATATAATAAAAGTATCTAACGAAGTTCATAAAATAAAGGCGAGGATCACTTTATTATTATTTAAGTTACATAGTTAGGCAAAAGTAACAACACAGGTATCGAATAAAAAGAAAAAAATACTTAAAAACATTTCTTGTAGAACAATGTGAAGCAAAACTCATAGACAATCTTCTTTCCACTAATAAGTATGACAAACAATAAAAATATCACATATAACAACACAAAACTTTCTTTTAGTTACTACTGAAAATATAAATGAAAATAAATATTACTACATATTGAATTTATGAGTTGAGAATGATTTATTGACCGCTAAGAATTTAAAGTTTGAAGTCTCTAAAAATGAAGGTTTTCAAAGAGACAAAATGTTTGGCCACCAAGAAGATTGCCAATTTGTCGTCCTCTTTAACTACTATTAGGAACTCAGATATAGTTTTTTTTCAATTTGGAAACAAATAAATAATTGGGATGAGATTTGGGAGCCACGGGCTCTAAAATAATTATATAAATTTGTTATGTTATAATTAAAACGAATAAGAAGCCCTAAAGGTTAAAGAGATGTGAAGAGTGAAGAGACGTGTCTTTTATTGATCCAACAACAGTTGTATTGCTTTTAAAAACTAACACCGATTCTACTTAAAATTAAATTAGTCTATACATATTCTTTTTTAAACTTGGTTTTGTTTTAAAAAAATTATATATGTTTTAAATTTTCAAATTGTCAATAAAATTAAACATTTGAACTTAAGAATAAAAGAAGCATACTCATACAATTTACAAAGAAAAGATTTTGGGCCTATTTCTTCTTCTATATTTTTTCGGGCCTAGGGCAGTCGCCCTTGTTGCCCTCCCCCAGAACCGGCCCTGCTCTAACGACAAATGATTGTCCTTGAAACATCGGATTTACAGCTCGGGAGCTCATTGAAATTTTCCTGTTTCCATTTGTTGATGCTGGACGTAGTAACTTAGTTGGGTTTTTTAATTTTCGTGTAGCTCCCTTTTTCTTGCCCTTGCGGATTCTTCCCATGGCTGGAATTGATATTCTGTATTTTGTAGAGTGATCAAAAATTGACTTTTCTTGATCACCGGTGATCAGGTTTGACCAATGATATTTTTTAGTACAAAATTACTTAAAATATGAAAATTGTATGAGCATATTCTATACTCCCTCCGTCCCTAATAACTTTGCCAAGTTTGACCGGCACGGGGATTAATAAAGTAAAAACTGTGTGGTTGAGGTTTGTGCAGAGGAGAGAGAATTAACTGGAACCACAAATTCTTTACTTAAATGGGAAAGTGGCAAAGTTAATGGGACATCCAAAAAAGGAAAGTTGACAAAGTTATAAGGGACGGAGGAAGTATTAAACAATCTTTCATAAATGTATAAAATTTATAAATTACACAAAAAAATAATACTTAAAATCAATGAACAAGAAAAGTTAAATTGACCAAAATTTTTGGGACGGAGTGAGTATGAGTAAGGATGTTTTTACGTGGACTGTAATTTGCTAGTATAGCCCGGTCTGATCTGATCTGGTCTGAATTGGTCTGCTTTTGTAATGTCTGGTCTCTTTGTATTTTTATAACTATCCAAGTGTGATATGGTCATATCTGATCTAAAGTAGTCTGATCTAGTCTAATCTTGTCTCGAACGGATTACGGTCCAAATAAAAACATCCTAATATTCTATAAAACACTTCGTGTTATTTACTAATAATAAGATACTTGGTGTCATTTAATTGATTGAATTTCAGGTAAGAATCTGTGTACGGAGGGGTTAAGGACCCATCACATGCTTCATATAAGAAAGGAAGACGTAAGAAAAGGCGTAAGAAGAAGGCACGCCAGTCGCCTGAGCCAACCCTACTGTTTGAAGCGATAATTCCATTGATCCAGAGATAATTCCAGACAAGGAGTTTGGGAGCAGGAGAAGTAGCTAACCGCACGCCCCACGACCGCACCCGTTTTCTGTGACCGCACAGCACTCAGTATTACATGGTAAATTGCTAATTTACCTTTTTTTCCTTCAATTTTTTGGTTTTTATTTTCTTTAAATTTATACCCTTACCCAGGAGGACACTGGATTCCAAGCACATCTAAGAGGAGTGGTATGGGTAATCAAAATTTTAAAATAATTTCAACGTCAACCACCCGAATCCAGCATAGGTACGGGTTTTTCAGTAGACAAATTAGGCCATGTTATGACATGTGCTCATTTGTTTAGTAAACAGGCTAGTACACAGCATATTTTGTTGCGTAAAATAAACGAAAATGGGTTGTGGCATGAAGGTGTAATTGTGTATCAAAAACCGAGTCTAGAGCTAGTTTTGCTAAAAGTGCAAGGCATAGAAAATTGTGATTCCGTAAACTTTTGTGCTGATGGATCTATATCTGCTGGGGAGCCTCTTTTCCACATGGGAAATCCACAGAACTTTGTCGGCACATTCGCTACCGGTCACTGCCTTTTTCCGTGCAAGAATGTTGTTGTCCCCAGTGTTAGACTTACTTGTGCTGAGTATGAATCACAAGCATTAGCCCGAACACCGGAGTATAGGATCATGGGAGACATATGGAATATGGAAAGCTTCCCTTCAGGAAAAAAATTTGCTTATGAAAAAGAGTTGAACCCATTAATTCCAATCATTCAGATGAGTGGACTGGTTGGGGGAGGGGGTAGCTCAGGAGGCCCGGTTTTCAACACGAACCAAGAGCTTGTTGGCATGTTGGTGATGGGGGCAGATGGCTTCGAAATTGCCATTCATGTTTCTATGCTAAAGCAGTTCTTGAAAGATGCCGCTGAAAACAGTAAGATAGGCCACGATGATGAAGTGAGTTTCTTTGTGTTTAATTCTTAACATTTTAATTTTATTTGATATCTGCTAATCTACATATATAAAAATGTGCTTATAGGCTGGTAGCTCCAAGAAACCCAAAACAGGTAGCTCCAAGAAACTACAAAGATGGGGGCACAACATTTAAAGGTGGTGCCAACTTTTATGATTTGTATGTTTTTTAATGTTTTATGAGCATAGGTCAAGTTTGGAACTCCAAAGGATAAGAAACTTAACTTAGTACACGTCAAGTCTTTAAAGGTGTTGCCAACTTTTATGATTTAAATGTGTTTTATGAACAATTTATATAAAAGTATTGTTTGAGATTGCTAGAGTTATGGTCTAAAAATGAACTGGTATAAATATTTCTGCAAATTTTTAAAATTGCATTCCCTAAGCTAACATAAAAACTTAACTGATGCATAGACTCTACTATCATTAATGTCTCATCAAGAATACAATTAATACAGACTAAATTAGGTATGTGTTTTTAGAAGTGACTTAACTCAATTATTACATTCCTCAGGTTACCTAAAGCGATACGTTATATACACGTTTTCCCCACTGAATGTTCTACCATCTGTAATCTCTCTCTCATTTTGTTGGGATTTATAACAGGAATGACATATCTCCTTCAGGGAGTATGCAGAGTGAAAGATATAAACAAAACAACATCACATCTTTATTTACTCATTTCATTTAAGGAAATCAAACAATAATGATGGTAACTATTTTATAAGTATGACTGGCATGAACTTTAGCCGCTAAGATTTATTTTATTGAGAGCTTACCATTCTGTTTATAAGTAGAACACCACATGTATATTCCGTTTCTAACATTCTGTTTTGACTTAAAAATAAACAATTTTTAAGTATGTTGTAATTCAAAATGAATCAGTGTCAAGATGAAATAGTGCCTTGTGTCATGGTTTTCAGGTTCTTTATTTATCTGCCACTAGATTGTTGAAGATAGACCATTTTCACTTGCAGTTCACACATTTTTTTTGGGAAAAAAACTGTTTTGTTTGTGTATTTTAGCTTATTATACATGAACCCAAATTCCAGGGAATGTGCTTTCCCTAGCTGTCTTGTTTAAATAAAGCTCCTAAAATGTAGGTTACATTAAATTAAAATAAAACATCAAAGCATTCACATTAAATAATCACGTTCTATGGCTTTTATATTGCTCTATCAGTCTATCTAAGTATCTAACTTATAAGTAAGTTCATATAATCTTCTTCTACATGCTTTATATAAATACATCTACATATGTACTTGTACACTCAGCAACAATACTAAATAGTTTCAACCCACTATTTTATCTCATATGATTTCAACTTTGTACACTAATACAAAAAGAGACAATAAACTTGGTAAATTGTGATTTAAATAGCATTCAATTATGTGAACTGTGATTTAATTCACTTTCGGATACACATCACAAACAGAAAACGTGTGAAATATCTAGATTCGTTTAGATTTTAGATATTAAGCTATAACTGAGATATTCAGTTCCAAATTTAACTCACTTGATATTTAATATCCCCAATTGCACCTTCAATAATTGTGATATTAAGTTGTAACCGCATAAGTTTTATATAGGCAGTAAATACACACATTTTGTTTTTACTTTCACTTGTTCCCAAATCTACCTAATATATGAATTGATATTTATTTGTTTCAATTAAGATTTAAGACCAAACTTTTCCTTGTGTTGGGATAATGGGCTGGGTCTAGTACTATCGGCCCGTTATACTTGAGTGTGGGCCTGCCCAGGCCCAGAACACAGCCCGACTGACGGAAGTTGGTCTTGGATTGTTTATTTAAATTGGTCTAGTTTTCTGTCATGACTTAATCTGTATGTGTATTCTGTACATTCATATGTTTTTTCTACGAATTCCTTCAATCAGTTAGAATTTTGTATGTGGAGACAGATTTTGCATTAAAGATTATGATGGTTCATTGTGTAAGTTTAATGCTTGTCTTTCACTGTTCAGAATTTTTGCATTTTTCTGTGCATTTTGTTCTTATACTTGAAATCCCTGTTTTACGCTGCAATCTAACTATATCCTTCTATATATATTTATATTGAAACTCATTAAAAACTGAGTAGGTACGTTTTGTGGCCCAAAGTACATATTGGCAGTGTAATTTGTAGCAAAAAGTAAGGTTGAGTTTGGATACATTTTCACTCATATGTAGTCATCTACTCTTATCGTGTATGCATGTGTGAGATCAGGGAGGAATAAGGTAATTCTTTAATAGATACATAAATCAGTGGAAAAGAAGCTGAAGGACTTTTTAGATGCGTGACTCCAAACTCTTTAGGTTTTCTTTTGCGGATGTATTTAGTTAGTAGTAGTTATAAGTATTAATGCAATAAAATTGTATGTTCTCCATAAGTTTTGAATGATTTTGCTTGCTGTTTATTAGTTTCTAATCTGGAATTGGTTTGCAATTTGTAATTAGTTTGTTGGTTATTAGTATGCACAATATTTCGAATTACTTATTATTCACAATCTAGAATCCTAGATGCATTGAGATCTAAGGGTTGATGGTATTTTCCTTTGTTCCATTCCTTTCTTTTGATTGATTTGTCTTTATTTGTCATATATACATAAATCTTTTACACATTTATTATTCTTTAGCTAAACGTTGTGAGAATTTGTTTAATTTCAGGTATTGAGAGTCGGCGGATTGATGTTGAAACTTGAAAGACAAGGAAGCTTTTGGATAAAAAAAATGGAACCTTGTGTGGTTAATTTAGATTTTAGAGCAAATTGTTATTTTAAACTTGAAAGTATTAATATGTAGTAGTCTAAGTTTTATGTTCTGTCAAAAGATTCAGTAGTATTATTACTTGATCGACTGATAGTGTATTCCTTTGTTCATTATGTTTGATCGACTGATCGACTGATGTGAACAACAAAGTTCACAGTTCACTTGATAAAAAAGGCTTTGATTTGTTTGTTGGGTTAAGGCCCGGTACCGGCCCGGGATTGTACCGGGCCAGGACCAGGTCGGGCCGGTTCGGTTATTATTATTTTTTTGCTTTTCTTATTTATTCCACCCCTACTCCCCACCAAAACACCGAGCCCACCTAGCATAGCCGCACAGGCCCAAACCCAAAAAAAATGGTCCGGACCGATCCTGGACCGGCCGGGCCGTCCCCATTTTGATGCTCTCGGGCTAGAGGTGGACTCGGGTCGGGCCGCCCGGCCCGGTACTGTTTGGGCCCGGCCCGGTATCCGGTCTAGGAGCTGGTTCGGGCCTACCGAAACCGCTCAACTCCCGGTTCGGGCTCGGGCCTTGAAAATGTTGAACCGGCCCGGCCGGTTCGGGCAAAATTTAGGGGTGGAGTCGGGCCGGTTCGGGCTTGGACCGGCGGTTCTGGAATGGGGGGCCCGGAATTGGCCCGGGTAATCCCCGGGTCGGGCCTCGGGCCTTTGTTATTTTTTTTCCTTTTCCTAGTTAATCCCCAAACCACCCCAAATGGCACAAATTACCTAGCCCAACCCGAAAACTAAAAAAAATTGAAAACAAAATTAAAAAAAGGCCCGAAACCGAGCCCGAACCGGCCGAACCGGTTCATGATGTGGGAGGCCCAAGGCCCAAGCCCGGACCGGAACCCCCACGGGTCGGGCCTACCCGAACCAGTCACTGACCGGGCCACCGGGCCGGAACAGTGCCGATTCGGGCCGGTTCCGGGTAGGGCCACCCGGCCCGAGTCCAGGCCTAGGGCAAAATTTGTTTTTTTTTTCATTTTTTTGGGTTTCTACCGGGTAGGGATGAGTGTTTTTGGGGGGTGAGAAGGGGGGGGGGGGGGGGTCGGGGGTAATTTAGAAAAACAAAAGAAAATAAAAAAAATAACATTGAACCAGAAACCGGCCCGGCCCGGCTCGGCCCAGAACCGCCGGTCACCCGGGCCTGTTCCGGTTCCCTACTTCCCAAACAAAATCCCGGCCGGGCCCAGGCCCGAACCAGAACCGGCCCGGGTCCATCCCGAAAAAATCCCTTAGTGGGCCGGTTGACTCGATCCCTATTGGCGGGTCGGGCCGGTACTACACAGTGTCGAGCCGGTCAACGGGCCGGTCAACCCGGGCCCGATCCATCCTTAAGTATCACTCAATGCCATTGATAATATTGCGATGCAACTCTTGATGTTGTTGTGGAAGCTTTTTAGAGCTGATCATTAATGATTAATAATCAATTTACATTTGGCGACTGATTTATCATTTTGTCTCAATATATAAAGAAATACTTATAAACAACAAAATACACTAAGAGCCCGTTTGGTAGCACGAAAATCGGCTGTTTTGGCTGTTTCTGCTGAAATTTATGAAGTTCTGGCTGAAGTGGCTGTTTTGGCTGATTCTGCTGATTCTAGAAAAAAATATTTTAAAAATATATTTTATTAATAAAATAAAGAAAAAATTACATGTAAAAATAGCTAAAATGGTCATCTACAGTAACTTCAGCCAATACAGCCAGAAAAGTAACTCCAACCTTACTTTTTCTGCTTATTACACAATTCAGCACGCGAAAGTAAAAATTACGTGTTTGGTGAAAAAGCTGGCTGATAAGCCTGATAAGCCGAAAAAAGAGGTCTCCAAACGGGCTCTAATACTACGTAACTAATAAAGATTTCAATGAAGTAAATGCTTGCTTTATAGAATACTGTAGAAAGTCGAAATAGAGTTTAAAAATATAACTAAAGTAATTAGATGAAAAGCTCGTACCAACTCAGACACCTCCTCAATCTATAAAAATATGAAATACCTAGAGTTAGTTTAGCAACTACTAAAACATTAAGATGGAGCAAAATAGTTCTAAAAGCCGGAAACGTTGCTTAGAGATCATCATTGTCGTCGTCATTGTTGCTACTGCAGCTGCAACTGCCGTCGCAGCCACCATTATCATACATCTTGCTATTCTCCTTGTCAACCTGTCACATATTAAATGAGAAGTTAGTATTTTGAGTAACTTTATAAAAGCTAAACAGAAAATAATACTCGTAAGAAATAAGCTTAATAAAATACGGAGTACCTCATTCGCAATTGACTTGGAAAAATGGCATCCCTTAAGGTTGATGAACTTTTCCAAAACATTACCGTTCAGAACTCTTACTTCGTTATTGAAATTGTTCACATCTTTAGTGAGCATTTTGTTTATCTCATTTGCTTTGTAAGCTTCCTTTTTAGCCACATTGGCTTCTTCATTTGACACTTTAGCCTCTTTGTGCAGTTTCTCGATCTCCTTCACTAAATAGTTCAAACGATGAAGTAATGGACGCGGTCTTGCTGCTATTCCAATACCATCACTGCCACTTTTACCTTTGGATACCTTTTGCAACTAGTTTAACTTTTGCATACCTTAACTGCATAAAAATGTAATGATATATGCAACTAGTATGCAACCAAAGAGTGCTATTCCTGTCCGGAAATTCCGGACAGAAGCCCCGTCCGGCCTCCTCCATTTGGGGCTTTCCCGGTGGTATTTTTTGCTCATATTTTTTGTGTATGTTTCTCATCAAGTCTAGTTCATCCATACTAAATTTGAGCAAAAAATTCAATCGGGAAGGTCATCAAATCTTTTTTGCAAGTTAACTGGTCCGGAAAATACATATTCCGGACCAGTTAACTTGCAAAAATCATTTGACGACCTTCCCAATTGAATTATTTGCTGAAATTTGGTATGGATGATCTGAACTAGACTTGATGAGGAACATACAAAAAAAAATGTGAGCAAAAAAAACCATCGGGAAGGCCCCCAAATGGAGGAGTCCGGACGGGGTTCCTGTCCGGAAATTCCGGACAGGAATATTTGTGTGCAACCAAATAATATGATAAACAGTATTCATATGAAACCAATATAATTGACCTAATAAAAAAGTGGCATCAAGTATATTCATATACTTGACGCTATCTAATAGGACAAACAACTTCCGAAATCGGCAATTACATGTTCTATATGATTTGAAAAAAACAATTCTTGTTTCGATCACACTTGGTTTTTAATTTTGGTTAGGGCACCAACAACAGAACTCATTCTAAACTAAAACTATTTACTAAATTATTTTCCTTCCTGCAGAGAAAATTTAATGCTCATGAATATTATAATTTATTGTGGTATTAATAAGCACAAGAGTTCATTAATTTACTGTGACAAAATCATATTCAGCTTATGAACTAGTGCTGGACTCGGGCCGGTTCGGGCCCGGTTCGGGCCTGGGCCCGGCCGGGCCTCGGGCCAGGAAAGGGAGGCCCGAGCCCGAACCGCCGGTGGCCGGTTCCGGTCCCGGTTCCGGGCCGGGCCGGGCCGGGCCGGGCCGGGCCGAACCGGCCCAATTAATTTTTTTTTTTTGTTCTCCTATTTAATCCCCTACCCCTCCCCCTCAACCCCAAACCATCCCAAACCACCTCAAATGGCCCAAAATACCTAATCCAACCTAAAACTTAAAAAAATTTCAAAAAAAAAAAAATTAAAATCCGGCCCGGACCGGGCCCGAACCGGCCGGGCCGGTTCACCAAAACCTGGGCCCGGGCCCGAACCGCCCAGCAGCCGGGCCGGGCCGAACCGAACCGGTGGACCCACCGGGCCCCGGGCCGGGCCGGGCCAAACAGTAACCGGGCCGGGTCGGTTCCGGGCCGGGCCGCCCGGCCCGAGTCCAGCACTATTATGAACTGTTTCATGAATAATGTTTCGATTAAATAAGTTGATCATAAGAATTACTTTTAGGTCATAAGAATTACTACCTCAATTAAAAGACTCTTTAATAGTGACTATTAGTGAGACCATAACTGTTACTAGTACAATATGAAGTTGAGAACAAGATTTGAACTAGTACAAAATGAAATACTCCCAAGTTACTCTCAAGTTTATTGAACATCACTTTCTTTCAGATTCTTCATCACTTAAAAACAACCTGAGTTAAGTAAGAATATCATTAAGAAAGATTGGAGTCACTTAAAATCCTATAAGGGTACCTAGTCATTGACTTTCAAGTATTTAGTACAACTCCAGTAAGACATACCTGGCGGCCGGCCTCTTAATAAGATAACCAATCCAGTGCTATTTATGTAATTAACCATAGCACCAACACGTAAGAGTGCAACTAGTCTTACGTATTTACGTTTGCCGTGTACTGACTGGTTGCCAGTAGGGGTGGTATATGCGACCAATGTTTTAAATGATGCTACGGAGGGTCTGTTTTTTGGAAAGTGTTAAATGAGGTGTTATATTTGTCCAAACCCCTTTAATTAGTACGGAGTAATATTGTTGACCTAGTCCCTTTTTTGGAAAGTGTTAAATGAGGTGTTATATTTGTCCAAAATCAGATTTCATTAGAAAAAGTATCAATTTGTACTATAATCACTTTTCAAATAATCTCTGAAATAGAATCAAAAGCAAACACTAATGAAACCTGAGATTCAAATCTTTCTCCAAGCAAAAATAAATAACAATTATGGAGAGAAAGCATAACTTAGGCTTGAGCTAGCCATATGATTGAAGTTGAAATTAGTTACATATCCATGCAGACCAAAAGTTAGGAGTCGCTCGCAATTTATCAAAACAATCACTGTTTCCAATGACACTAGCCAACGGCATGACTTCTCACTTTCACCGACACTGGCTCACAAAAACATGCACTTTCTATCTTGCGCATCATTCAGGTCATCCAAAACAAGCACGACATCTAACTTTCTATCTTGCTTTATCCAGAACTGGCCAACTGCATGATGTTTAGCAATATAGCATTCAGTAAAAATTATCATCAAAGAGATAATAATAATAATAATTATTATTATTATAAAAGGTTCACCAATATAGCTCATCCTGTGTGACTACATCCACGACCATATTAAGATTCAACCGAGTACCATCAAAGGTTCGTAGCACAGTCACCTCTACTGACTTTCCAATGTTATCCCACATCACTCTGACCAACTGATCCAAATACATTAGTGCACATAACATTACGGTTTCAGAATATTAACCTCTTAGATTTTACTCAATGAAGAATGTATAATACCTCTAAGATACTCCGAACACTTCCTCCAGCGAATCTAGTAATAACATCATTGGGACGAATCCCGGCTACATCGGCCGTAGAGCCTGCTAAAACCTATTTGATAGCGCACATATATGTATCAAAGCATCCAAGTAGTAAGAAAAATTAATTTAGCAGATGCACAGAGAGATAGTGGTCATACAGAATACATAAACTGCCTAGCTAGTTCTCTCTGTGTGTCTGTTTCTGAATGAGAAAAAGATGATTTTGCATCTAGGAACGTCCACAGAAATTGTTTTGTGTGTGTGACTTGTTATAGTTTTTACCTACAAAAGCACTTAATTTTATGTACTGAATTTTACTTTTGAGATGCACTTTTTTTACAACATTTTGGGGGGCTATTCTAGTCTTTTGTCCTGGGTCTATAAATTGTCAAGACGCACTGGAGATAGAATTTTGATAAAACTTGGAGGGAATGTATACTACCTTTTCAACCATAACACCGTGGAAGGTATCGTTTTGGACAACCGTTTCTAGAATGTCCAGGCTCACAGCGTAGAGGTTGGTAAGTTCCATCGAAAGCAAAGGTCGTTGGATTTCCCTATCCCAATCAAAACGTTGATAGTCAATCACAAGAATAATATGTAGGGTAAGCTGCCATTGGGCACACAGATTTGATGTTTTATTTTAGGCTTAAATGTGTTTTTTGTTCCAAGTAATACATACAATTTCCCTTTTTAGTTTATGTATGATTTCAAAATATTCTTGATAAGAAACAATTAATTTAGATGGAATAACTCTACGATTAACTCCATTAAAAAACTCTACAATTAACTTTTAATTTAAGCTCTGTACAAAACTTTGTAGGCTTTAAGTTAAGTGATACTAATCGTTTCCGTTTTAAAAATAGGTTTACTGACTATCTGAAATTAATCTCAAGTATTTTTGAAACACCAGTCACCAAATGAATAAAGACACAAAATCTTTTAGTCTGGTATATTTCATTGTGAAATGGTGGTTTTAAGGATCCCTGTGTGACTAAAAAGAAATACAGCATAAATCTTAGTGATGGAGAATGAAAAAATAATTTTAAAAGAATCTAAAACAAAAGATACTATTTAGAAGAAGTAAAAACATATTTGAATCTTTAATTTATTTCATTCTCTTGTGTGGAAGGTTGTTGAAACAGAAAGAAAAATCAAAGATAATTTTTTCCCTTTCACAACACTGGTGTCCAAAATCTTTTGCACAAATGATCTGGTGGGCCCTGTAAAACTCGAACGGCCCTCATTGGGATTTGAACGAGTGTATTCAATGGTTTTTTATTGTTGGTTCAAATAAGAAAAGTGAATCAAATAGGCATATAGGTTCTTATGAGTTACACACTACATGAGGTTTTGTGCATACCCATTTTTTTTAAATTGCTCCCACCATTTGAGAGTTAGAGTGATGGGCAAAAAGGGAGTGCACGACATGTCATAAAAGCATACACCAATAAATTCCCCTTGGCTGTTTACAAGTGGCCCGCCAGCACCGCACTGCAACAACAAAAGAAAGCCGCATACATAAAACATATCTAAAACTGCATTTTCATATATTTGCTGGTTATTAAAGACCAAGGTTTCACACAGAATAGCTCGGAGCTTTATATTTGATTTGTATCTATATAAACAATTAGCATGATGACTTCACATCAATAAAGTGAATACAATTGTTGAGACATGAAACATAGAGAGGAAGAGGTACTCTTGTTATGCTGCAAGTTGCTCTAAACAGTTCTTGGCACTCCAACTCTACTTGATTGATGCTGAAGCAAAAAACTCAAACAATTAATAAGATTCATAGTAAAGAAATCTAACGAAAGAACATGCAAACTAGGTATGAACTTCAAAGCCACTAACCTAAATTGACCTGGAGCCGCCATTAGGGCATATGGCTTCGCGAAATAGCGACCAAGAGCAATTACAGTGTTACCAGGGATAAGGGTATAATGTGAATCTAAAGGGGGGACACTATGAGCTCGTAGAATTGGTGTTGAAATTACTGGAGCTGTATCAACTGAGATTGCATCATCAAAGAGGGCCATTTTTGCGGCTTTCAGTGGAGTACCGGAGTGGACTTCTACTGCAGCTAGATTGTAATGAAAGTCATATGCCAATACTTTTCCATCGAGCTTCGTACCATCGCTCATGCACACCTCAACCTTTAAAGGATATATTTGGCTGAATATATTCAATTTGAGACAAAGGAAAGCTACAAACTGCCCTACTTAATTAGGAGCACAAACAATGAGAAAATTCCGAAATAGGATTACTAAGTTTTTGGATGTAATTGTAGTCATACTTGGAAACTTAGAAACTTGAAAACTGTAGTCCAAAGGCTGTAGGTAGGACACTAATAGTATTATTCCAGGAGGCGGTATATTATTCCTCATAGGGAAAAGAACACAATACTCGTACACTGGAATTTTATATTGTTTTTAATCAGGAAGTTCATTTAGAAAAATTTCCAACCTCCTTTACTCAAAAGTTTCATTTATGAAAATTCGGGAAAATTGTGAAATCAGCCCTTGAAGTATATCAAAACATTCAGTTAAGCCCTCCAACTATAAAAATAGTCAATTAAGTCTATATATCGCACAAAAACAATCAAATTTCTAATTTAGCCAGTTGGTTCCGGGTTAGCTGGTGATACAGCGACGTAGCAGTCCAGCTGGCGTGTTTTTAATATTTTTCCTTTTCCTTTTTTTGCTTTTTTCCTTTTCTTTCTTACTTTCTTTTTCCCCTGCTTTCTTCTTCACGACAACAAAACCGACTCCCCCGCTTTCTTTCTTCTTCTTTTTCAGCCTCCCCTTCTCTCTTCTTCAGCCAAACACACCCCACTCCCTTCAATCTTTTTGTCTTCTTCAGCCCATACTGCCCCACTCCTCCCCACCCCTTCCCCTCCCTTCTTCTTCAGCCCCCCTCCATTGGAGTTTGGTTTATGATTTTTAAACTTAAATTTGTCAATATATTATATATCTATGAACCATTTCTCAGACTATCGGCTAGAAAAGTACCTTTATTGTAGGATGAGACATTGTGGAATCAGAGTGGACTTGAAAACAATCTGCCGAAGTAATAATAATCCCTTTGTCATTTTCAACTTCTATGATAGTTCCAGAACATTGAAACGACTCTTTTCCATCTGCAAATAAACCATAAAAGGATCAGATTCAAGTAACAACAAAGGTGAAGCTTGAACAAAACCAAAAATGATAAAAGCACAAGAAAACATACCTAAATGAGTAATGAGGCTAACTAAAGATGGAGAAGCTCGGAGAGCAGCAATCTTGGTATTTATATCAAGATATAAATTATTACCAAGTTTATGAAACTTTGGATGCTTCAAACCAATGCTTGTGGCATAAATATGATCATCCTCAGCTATTATTGTGGAAGAACATAAAAAAAATTGAAGGTGACATCTCATTTAACACATAAAGGAACACCTCAACAGTTGTTAGGAATACTATAAAAGTGATTGTGAACTCACTATAAGAGGCCGGATTGATATATCGTTCCCATAATGATTCTTTCATCTTCCTCTTAGGCATGATGAGAGTAGGGATCCTGTGTAACAAAACTGTTTGAGTCTTTATAATACTAATAGATATATATTTCCATCAAGATCAATCTTGATAGCATTATTTTCTAGTCTTTCATCCTCTTGAGATCCTTGATAATGAATTGATCAAGACTCAAGAGCTAGCCAACTACTTTATCACCTACACAACAATTACACGACTAGTCACACATGTATTATATATATATATATATATATATATATATATATATATATATATATAATACAACAAAAACAACAACACTACCCTAGTGCCGCAAAGTCTCCCACGTACGGTGGAGTAAGGGGGTCAGATGTACACAGCCTTACCCCTGTACTAAAGCAGGGAAAGACCGATGACCCATAATGAAAATCGTTTAAAAAATGCATGGACTTAATTGGTTCTTAATAACAAAGAAGAACATACAGTTTAGTAAACCATTTAACTTTATTGCAGATTGCGTATTTAAGGGAGTTTCTTAGGATTGCCTATTGCGTAAGCCTCATTGCACAATGAGGCGTAAGCCTCCGTTTTGAGGCAAATTTATACTCCGTATAAAAACAAGGGAAAAGTAATTCAATTATACATGCAAGTTTGGAATGTTTACTCACACTCCTTCAAAGTTTTGGGTGTTTTAATTGTTTTCCCCAAAAAACAAACATTGTAATAAAAATTTAAATAAAATAAACATTGAAAGTCAACAAATGTCATAATCAAAACCAACAAAAACGAGACCATAAACCAAGCTATTTCTTGCTTGTGTACTTTACCAAACAAGTTTCATATATTGTAACAATGCATGAATATCTTTATAGTTAAAGAAAACAAAAGTAATAAAAATTAAGTATATTCAAATTACAAGGCAGAGAATTTATACAGAGTACTAAGTTTCAGTGATAGTGATAAGCACCAACGCAGAACTGGAAAGTAATTAAAATAACTACATAACCCAAACCTTGAAGCTCGCAGTTGAAAAGAAAAAAATATGTTATGGCAGAACAGATAAATTATACTCGTATGAATAACTCAAAGCTGGCAAAGGTCTTAGACTCTCAGTCCCACGTAGAATAACACAGCCTGCACAAGAAGCAGTGAGTTATAGCAGAACAGAAAACTTATATCCGTACGAAGTCATAAAACTGAAGCAAATTACAACTCCTTATTTATAAATAAAAAAAAAAAAAAAAACATTCTCAAGAACCCCCTCCCAGCTTGAACTATTCAGATGCTGTAAGACTAACCTAGGGATATTACACTAACGACGTGGTTTAGTCGCGGAGACTGCGTCCTATAGTCCTACCTAAGCAAAAGAGGAGATGGAAACGGAGAGACCAATATATAGCGTACGACAGTCTGGCTTAAAGACGTAAGATGGAATGAATTGGTAAAGCGAAACTAGGCTCAGGTTATTCCACATCTTTGGACCGGATCAAGCACTTTGGGCCAAATTAACTCATTTAGGGGGTGTATTGTATTGGATGTGGACTTTTAAAAGTCCACAAAAGTCTAGGTGTATTCAATGCAGACTTTTAAAAGTCTATAAAAATCTAGGCGTATTCAAATTTCCGTTCGTTCTTATTGACTTCTAAATTCATAAATTATCATGAACTTTTAACTCATTTTTAGTGCAAAAAATCTCTGCAATTGTTTCTTCTCCTCATCAAAGATTTCCGTGGACTTTTCATATATCAGTTCTTCATCCCGTCCCACCCCATCCCTCCCCTCCCTCCTAGGGATGGACCGGGCCCGGGCCGATTTCAGTTCCGAGTCGGGCCCGGGCGGGCTTGGAATTTTTTGGGTAAGGCCCGGGACTGGCCCGGGAGTCTACTGGTACCGATTCGGGCCGGGCCGGTTTAATTTTTTTTTGGGTTTTCTTATATATTCCACCCCAAACCCCTCCAAAACACCCAGCCCAACCTACCTACCATAGGCCCAAACCCACACTAAACAAAAAATAATAATAATAATAAGGCCCGGACCAAGCCTAGACTGGCCGGACCGGGCCTGGACCAGCCGGACCGGGCCTGGTCCGGCCGGGCCGGTCCTCAAATTTGTAGTCCCGGAACCGCCCCAATTAACCCCCCGGGTCGGGCCTAGGTCCGGTACTGGTACCGATCCACCGGGTCGGGCCGGTCCTGCATAGTGGCGTGCCGGTCCGGGTCTCGGTCCGATGAGACCGGCCCCGGACCAAGCCTACTCCCCTCTCCCCAACTCTACTCTTCTTTAGCCAAGCCACCCCTTCCCCTTCGATCTTTCTTCTTTTTCTTCTTCAGCCCAGCTTGCCCCACCCCTCTCCTTCCGTTCTTCTTCTTCAGCTTGTCGGCCCCACCCCCACTCCCCTCGATTCATTAATCCCATATCAATTCGTTCCCGATTTAAGTTTTAGCTGAAATTTGGTATGAATAAATTAGACTTGATGGATAAGATGCTAAAAAAATTTCATAAAAAATTCCACCGGGAACCACCCCAAATCGCGACGGCCGGACGAGCCTCCTATGTAAAGACTTATTTGACCATTTTATGAAAGTTCGAGGACCTATTTGATGTTTGCCCGAATAAATATTACATATTCACCCTTAATTTAATTAATTAATTAATTAATATAATTAATTGTCCCTAGTTCCACTTGGCTTATTAACCATGAGAAGCATGCATTAACAATCCAAGTTTACTACCATTGAAAGAACCGAATTAATAACAAGCGTATTAACCGATTGATTCTAGTAATAATTAATATATGAAACAAAACTAGTTGATCCTTTAGGTAATGCCTCAATATATTAATATGGAATATGAATAGGAAGTAATTAATATTCAAGAAAGAAGATTAGAGAAAATAACTCACAACTTACAAATCATTAAGCTTCAAAGTAGCAAAACCAAGATGGAAGAGTTTAGCTCCTCATTTGGAGACTAAACATGAAGAAAATATAAAGAAATAACTTGTGGAGGAAATACTGAGCTTAGAAGTATATAGGAATTGGTGATTTATTGTGGAGGAAATGGGGTGTATTTATAGGATTTTTAGGCCTGCAGGGTCGTGTACTCGATCGGGTATATAGGGTACTCGACCGGGCCTTCAGTTGCTTCGTGGAAGCTGGAAAAACATGGACATACCTGACGTGCACTTTGTCGTGAGTGCACTCAAAATAAATTCAATACTACACTTATACGTAGTATAGCGTAGTAGAGTTCGTATCCACAGGGAAAGGAATAATTCTCTTTTTATAAAACTAGTAAATAAAAAGGGGGGTTTTGGGATTGAATGATTTAACTTAATTAAACATAAAGATGAACAACTTAATTTAAAGATAAAAAGGACTTGGCATTGCTACTTTCCACTTGTTGATATATTTTAGTCGATCATTGTTATATCTATAACTTATTCCCTCTCGAATACTCAATCGAGGAGTATATCCAATTCATCGAGGGTAGCTATTAACAACGACCGTTCATTAATAACCCTTACTATTAGTCAAGTATAGAACACCGCCATATACCGACTTAATAGTAGCATTTAATCTCTTAACTCCTTGATGAAATCAATTGAGATTGATAACCTCAACACAACGGTTTCGGTTTAACCAACAAAATTAATCCCTCTTAAGTTTATTAACCACGACCGTGCATTAATAAACCGAAGTTACTTACTTGTGAAGCAATCAACGATTAACCATCGGTTCGTTGATCGTTTCTAGTAGTAATTAATGTCGAGATGTTAACTAATTGTAATCTTAGCAACACTCCCCAACATTAATATAGAGATAGATTAAGGGAAGAATTAATATTCAAGGAAGAAGATTAAATATGAATAATCCTACTATAACTAATGTCAAGATGTTATCTAATTGTCATCTTAGCAACACTCCCCAACATTAATATATAGAGGAAGAAAATAAATACTACCATAATTAATGTCGAGATGTTAACTAATTGTCATCTTAGCAACACTCCCCAACATTAATATATAGATAGATTAAGAGAATAATTAATATTCAAGGGAAGAAGTTAAGAAAATAACTCACAACTTTAATAATCAACAAGCTTCAAGAGCAACACCAAGAAATGGAAGTTTAGCTCCTCATTTGGAGACTAAACATGCTAAAAAAATATAAAAGAAATACTATTCTAAGTTGAGCTTAAGAGTATGGAAGAAGGGATGATTTTTTAATGAAGGAAAAGTGTGCTATTTATAGGTGTTTTTCAACACCTTTGGCCGAGTACCCGACCGGGTACTGGTCCGAATCAAATATTTTCCACGTTCTAATGTTCTTCAGCACGCCGGGTTGTCTTCGGTCAAGTCTCACCCGACCGGGTGAGGTATAGGGCCCGACCGGGCCAAGCAATTTCCTGGAGACTGCAAATGTTAATTCAAACCCGACCGGGTGAAGGTTTCTACCCGGTCGGGTTTATTCTTCTGGGCAGCATTCTCCTTGTTTTTCTTCCTTTTCCTTGCCAACAATTCTACCAAAACTTCCTAACCCACAAATAAAAGCTAAAAACACTTATAAAAGCAAATGTTTACAACTACACACAAATGGTAAACAATCCACACAAAACAAGATATAAAAATACACATTTATGCACTACTAACTAGTGCATATCAATACCCGATCGAGTATGTCGGCTACCCGATCGGGTATGGACACTCGATCGTGGTCAAAATCTCCCCTGCATGTTGCCTTGTTCCCGGGTTGATCCGATTTGATTTTTCAGCGACTTACCCGATCGAGTATAGGTCATACTCGACCGGGTACAACACCAAAAATCAGGATCTTCATTTTTTCTTGGAATTTTTGCACCTTCCTCCCACTTGTGATGTTCACCAATGGTCCCTAGAGTGGTCTTGGACCTGTTTGAGCTCAGAATCAACCTAATCTAAACAATTTTACAAACATTTTACAAACTAAACTATTACACCAAAAGTGTGTAATTTCTAGAGTAACAATCATTCAAAACTAATCAAAAACACAAATATAAATATTGAAATTACATGAATGTCAATTATTACTATCAATTTTTCTTATTTTAAATTGTACCTAGTACAAAGTATGTTATACTGCAATAGATTTATAGTCCTCCTTCATAACATTAAAATTTGTTAAATAGGTTAAATTTATTGAAGCTAATGAAATTCTAACTAGCAGGTCCATTTTGCATGCTAATGTGTGCAAATATTATATTTAAAACTTTTTTAAATTTACTTAAAGGATAAAAATTCTAAAAAACAGCTACAATGATTTTGTAGAACAACTTTAGTCGTCAACTCAATCATAAAGGTAACTTAAAACTCAATCATGCTGATTATGATATGATTCAACGTCTAAAATCAAAATTTATATGCTTACTTTGAAGAAGCTCCGCATCATTCTCTTGTAATCTAAACTAGTATTGTACCCGTGCGATGCACGGGATATTTTTAGCAATTAAAATTAGAGTAAATCTTAGAAAAGAAAAGGTAAAATCAATATGAAATAAGGACAATTTTTTACTCTTGTTAATTGCATAATAATACGAAGAATGTGATATTGTCTTCTTTGAAACTTTATTTTAAAAGTAATCTCTCATGAAGTCAAAATATTCTATCACCACTTTTTCACTTGGGCGCTTATACCTGTCAAAACACTTCCAAAACAATGGTGATATATATTTTCCAAACCATTCTACTGTCTTTGAGCATACCATTCAAAGCATTAGGTAAATGTACTCTAAATTAAAATTAAGACAACAAAGAAATAATGAGAAGAATAAAAAAAAAGTGGTGTAACCATACAACACAACATAAAAAATAATGTCCAAACTATAACAAAAGTCCACCAAAAAATATTTTCCGACCATCGCCAAAATTATTAAGGTGGCATATGGACCCAAGTTCATTAGCACAACCCAAATTGTTGATGAACTAATTAATATTATTCCGCAATCCATTTAGCGCGCACTTACCTTCCACACAATCAACGTACCCAGCAAATCGACATCGGCTTCATTCAGTCGTATCCAATCTATTACTCCCTCCGTCCCTAAATAAACTTCCAACTTTCCTTTTTCGTCCGTCCCAATTAAAACTTCCACTTTCCTTTTTTTGCCAGAATTTGTGGTTCACAGCAATTCTTACACATTTCTCTCTCCTCTCCACAACTCTCCACCACACAATACCCACTATCTTAAACTCCGCGCCAAACCTATTTGGAAGATATAATAGGGACGGAGGGAGTAATATATAAAAGCACACTTTCTTGATGAACACGATTCCCTCCAAAAAATGTCAAACATCATGCTTTTGGTGAAATTTGAGGTGACTATTTCACATTGCTGAAATACGTATGTTGCTAACTCGCTATTGGTTAAAACTTACGGTGGCACTGTTTACTTTAAATGTTGATATGTTGCATAATCGCATGACTCAATTCTAATTGGTCGGACT